TGTTGTGCCGCCCCCCCCCCCCTTTTTTTTTTGAAAAATTCTGGATCCGCCCCTGCTCGTCTGTAAGTTTTATGAGATTCTTTGGCGCTATAAAACACAAAATGTACACAAAAAGTTCCTATCCTTTGAACCTTTCCAAAATCTGTGTGATAGCAATGTAGTAAAATAAAGTGCTGGTAGTTAGTAAGAGTGGGCCCCCGGTAGACTCTTTGGAGGCGATTGCGGATTGGAGCGGCATCGAAGTGCACGAAGTAGCAGTGGCGCCCCTGTTGGGCCTCTCTCCGGGCCCCTTTTATAGGCCTAGTGTACTAGTGAGGGAACGTGGCCAGGGGTGGCGCCAGCGGGGGCCGGGGGCTGACCCCCCTCCCCGTCGGGGAGAAAAAGCACAATCCGTCGGAGAGAAAAAAAATTATAGGCCTATGTATTTTCTACATATTAGTAGACTCTTAAATCGATTAAATAAGCCTTTGAAACCCCTAAATTGTTTCGAAACCTTTAAATCGAAGCTCGACCACGCCCACATTGCTTTTGTCGGGGAAATCTGACTCCTCAAATCATGACAACAACCACAGTCCCAGGATTGATTGGATTATTGACTTGCTAAAAAGAAAATTTTATGAAATTATTAGGGGGCGCTTATTCAAATTCACGTTAGGAGGGGCGGTTATTCAAACGGGGCGCTTATTCGCGCGAGTATAATAACGGTATAATATCTCTTTGGCTAGAACACTTTCTCACCAAACAACAGATGAAAAAGTTCAAAGAACACAGTTGCCTGGCAAAATCAAAATCAATGCATATTCTGAAGGCACCGACGGCGTTCCATAACTACGTTTATTAAAAATTCTGAGTTGCTATCCAAACAAAAGCGAAAGATGGCAGAGCGTGGAAGAGGAGGCAACAAGGTAAGTACTTTTTTTTAAATAAAATAGTAGAACTATTGATAAATTTTGTTAACGTGATAAAAGTATATTTTTTAGCGGCTGGATATAATGGCTAGTAGTAGCATAGGGTACTTAGGCTTAGTTTAGGCTCACAACTAGGCTAGGGCCTTGCCTGGCCTAATAATGCTTGTCCTCGGCTCGTTCGGGCCTCTATAGGCTAGTAGAAATAGGCCTAGACTAGGACTGCAAGATGTAGGCATAGGCTATGGCCTTTTTACTAGGTCAGAAAGCCCTAGGCCTTGGCATACTTACACTTACAGGTTAATGGGTTTTAATAGGCAAAGCCTTTTTATACCCCATTGTTGCCAATGCCTATAAAACCAATTTGGTTGGAGGACGATTTCCTAGCGTAGGCCCAGTCCAAAAGACATCAATTTTTTTTTCTAAAGACGGAACTGATGTGGCTTCCACTATATCTACTGGTAATTTATTCCAAGTGTCTATGATTCGTTGGGAGTAGAAATGCTTCCTAATGTTTAAGTTCTTGTGAAGGCGTTTTTTATAAATTTTGAATTTATGCCGACGCGTTCTATCTTCCTACGCCAATACAAAAAGATTTCTATAGGCCTAGTCTATGTTATCGCGACCAGTCATAATTTTAAAAAGTTCAATGAGACCACCTCTAATCCGTCTCAATTCAAGAGGATATAGATCAAGTTCTTTCAAACGTTGTTCATATGACGTGGACTTAAATGCACGGTACCAGTTTCGTCGCTCTACGCTGGACTTTTTTCCAAAATTTAAATATCTTTAAGTTGATAAGGACTCCAAGCTTGTACACAATATTCAGTGTGGGGTCTTATATACAGTATGCCTTATACAAAATTGCAAAACTTGATTTGTTAAAATATTTAAACGTTCTCTTGATTATTCCGAGATTAAACATAGCTTTGGCTGCTGCTTTGCAACATTGTGTTGATGATTTACAATTTGCAGTAATCCAAACTGCAAGGTCTTTCTCAGTATCAGTGTCACTAATGTCTTCACATCCTAATAATTTATAAACGGGTTTCCATACCCCATATACATACATTTACATTTATTATAATTAAACCGGAGTAAAAATTAGAATTTAACTGGAGTATCCTTACTTCTTCTTTAATGCTGCTAGGCATAGGCCAAATGTCAGGAGTTGGCAATAATGATTACTCACTCAGCAGGTGCAAGAATTTCATAACAATAAGCCTAGGCTAGGCTAGGCCTATCTATGGGGGTGGGGGGTGTGCTACTGTAGGCCTAGCCTGGGTTCCAGGCCCTAATTTTAGGTTACTCTTTATACCTAAGTTATTTGGAGTCCTATACTCGATTTCTTTTTTTTTTCTTTTTTCTTTTTTTTTTCAGATTATTCTGTCTCAAAATTAACTTGCTTGTGGTGGTGCTGTCCAGAATGACAAAAATAATAATAATAAGGGACTTGTGGAAAGTCTAGGGTAGGCCTATAGAGGCTTCTAATCCTATGACTACCAAAAAGAGTAACCGGGTGAATTGATGAAAAAAGGTTCCTAAAAATGAGTCAGTTTATCCAGGTAATAAATTACCATTGTTGACCAACATCATTTCTGATTTGCGTAATTTAGGGTCGAAGACCACCATCAGGAGGACCTGGGTCAAATAATGAAGGACGTCTCTCCAGACCATCATCCAGCGCTGCCACTACTTCAAATGATCTACTACTACGAGAGGAACAGTACAAGTAAAGCATCATCTATTTTTGCATTAATTTTAATAATTTTTTCTTTATTAATGTAAAAACACAAAATTTAAGGTGATCTCAAAATAATAGTCATCATCATTACAGGAAATTTAATTTGTTTCCTTAGCTCTTCAAAATTACATTATTTTGATGATTCTGATCACCATTATTTTTCTAATCCCATCATCATGTAATTTTTTATGTGACTTACCATAAATGCTTGAATAAACGCTGCGGTGCATAACATTTTTGGAGGTTTCAGTGCAGCGCTTATTCGAGAGCAGCGCTTATTCAAGAGCAGTGCTTATTAACAAAATATTGGCGTAGCACTTTTCATTGTTCCTATTGTTACCAATCTCACGTATTCTCATAGTTCGGTAGGTCTATCATAGACCCTACATCATTGTAAATAAACGTTTATAAAGATATGCTTTTGTATCTTCATTGTGTTATTTATACATTTAAACGTTGTATACATTGTATTTATTACCTTTTCTATTCTCTTGAAATGTTCCTAAAGGCGCATGAATGCAGAACTTGAGGCCAAAACAGCAGGGTTGATGAAGGAGGCAGAGCAGGTGTTGGTACGTTCATCATGACATTTTAATTCAATCTCATTAAATTTGTATGACCATTCAATATGTGTGTCCGTAGTATAATTGATTTGGATTGGTTTTGGTTGGTTGGTAGAACCAAGTCTTCTCGGATAAGGACTTAAAGTGGAGGTCCAGTGTACACATCTGGCTTGTTTGCCCTTTAATGTACTCATTGCATTTTAGAGTGTTACGCCAATGCTATGGTTCACTTCAGCCCCTGTCGTGGAATGATGTGCACTATAAGCACCTCTTTACGGTGGCTAGGTAGTCACGGACCATTCCCATGCAATTGAGTACAATGACGCTGTGAGTTATGGGTTATTCTCTTTTACCCTTATAATGTCTGCTCAGAGTCATTTGGTAACAAAATATAAGTATTAAATATAGATATTATTGTTGTTTGACAGAAAGAACAAGAGGAAATGCTAAGTAGGTCACTTGGAAGGTTGGACTTTGAGAAGCAAGATGGAGGAGCATTGGAGCCACCGCTTATTGCTGACGACATATCACAGGTAAGTACAAGATGCCAATCAAAGTTGTTTGAACAAACGTACTGTTTAGTTGCAGTACTATTAAATGCAGCGCAATTGACTTCACTATATGTTTCCAATGCCGACAACTATAAAATTGGAGTACAGTGAAAGTATTACAAAAACCACTCACACCCTCATCACTTTTTTTGCAAGTGGGTTAAGGTGATGCTCAATTCATGGACCATAACATCTGTCTCTTATACACATCTAGATGTGTATAAGAGACAGATGTTATCGCGACCAGTCATAATTTTAAAAAGTTCAATGAGACCACCTCTAATCCGTCTCAATTCAAGAGGATATAGATCAAGATCTTTCAAACGTTGTTCATATGACGTGGACTTAAATGCACGGTACCAGTTTCGTCGCTCTACGCTGGACTTTTTTCCAAAATTTAAATATCTTTAAGTTGATAAGGACTCCAAGCTTGTACACAATATTCAGTGTGGGGTCTTATATACCTGTCTCTTATACACATCTAGATGTGTATAAGAGACAGGAATTGTCGTTCATGAGACTCACTTCGCAGAAAAAATTAAT